AGGACAAATAAATCACGAAGAAATGCGTACACACATTTCACATTGCAACGTCAACGGGGAGTCTCTTCGCTCGGAAGTGTTGTATCTACGATGAATTCCCTTTCTCCGTCTCGGGAACTATTTTTATCTTCTGGGGAACTTTTCGAGCTCTGTCACGCGAATGGTTCGGTTCTTTCACGCGCGACATCCGTCTCTCTTACGTTTTCCGGAAACGCGCTTTATCCTCTGCGCATCGCGTTTTATCTCGCGATGCAGAAAGAGCTCGCAATGTCACATGCTTGTTAAATATATCGCGCGATATGCCTTCGCGACCTTCTTCCGTGACCGGAAATTCGCAGTTCATAATAATAATAATAATAACGTAAATTACAATAATCAATGTGATGTAGATAAAAGGAAAGAGAGAATAGATATTGTTGCGGTCGACTGGATTTTCCGGATATGTCATTTCCCACGTTTTCCCCCTTGTAAATCGACACGTGTGATCAGTTCTCCACTCGGCGCGCTTCTCCAATTCATTTCTAGAGGAGCTATTTCTCACCGTAACGATCCGTTACGAGATGCACGAGGAACCCACGTGGTTAACACGCGAGAGAGGCAATATGGAATAACATAAATATTTGTCGAAACTCTTCCTGCTGGGATAATATATTGGACGCTAATTATGCTCCCTTTTTTCTATTTTTACCGCGGTTCCTCGACGATGAATCTTCCGACGTGTGAGACTTACAGAAAGGCGCGCTCGAATGAATTGACGTGTGAGAGGAGAGAAAATATTACGATTTCATCTTCGATTATTTTTGTTAGCTGCTGAAGTTACAAATTATTTCGCTGATTCGATAATCTGGGAGGAAATAGGGATGAACCGAAACGAGACGTCAACGAAGCGAGACCGAGTTCTCCCTCTTGAAAACGTGGCCCGCTTCCTTTGTGCTAAACCTATTACAATTTGTTACGAAATTTGGCTACGGCGAAGGGAATCGTTCTCGTTAGTCCATAAGGTCCATAAGGGTGTCCCATTAATTCTGAAGCCGAACCGATATACAATAATAGTGATTCCATTGTAGAATTCTGTCCAGAATTATTTATTTCGAGAGATCGTTATCTATACTTATTCACTATATACTTTGTCCAAAAGTCTACGCGGAGAGTTTTCTCTCCGAATTACGAGAATTTACCCTGAAAATCATGGTTTTCCACAATAAAAAATATTTACATGTACATAGTAAAATTAATCGAACATATTTTATATCTTATTATGATATATAATATTTTTTACTTCTTAAAATATTTTTTTTTATTTATTAAAATTCTTTCAATACCATATTGTTTCATGATTTAAAATTTTCTGGTAAACTTTAAGAGAAAATTCTCTGTGTATATGCAGATTAAATTACTTTAATAAACTATTAATTTCTCTCGATTTTGAAATAAATGTTCTTAATTAATATTTTTTATTGTGATAAATATTAATCAGAGAAACTCTGATAAAATTCTTTCAACACCATATTGTCCTAGGGTAAATCTGAAAAGAAAATTCTCTGTGTAGTATACGTGTAGGGAATCGAACTACTTCAGCATCTTCCGTTTGTAACTCGAATTTCGTACGTTTCAGACATTGTGTCAGCGGGAAAACGCTGACTGTGTTAAATCCAAAATCGCGCGAGCGAAGCGAGGATTTCTCTCTCGTGGAAGTGACAATATTGTGTCATCGTGTTTCCGGCTTCGGGATCCGTTAGCTAGACTAGGCGCAAGCGCGTGTGCAGCCGGTGCAATGGCAGCCAAGTGCAATGCACCGTGAATAGATTGCCTAGAAACAAATGCCATTATGTAGTGACAGTGATGCGGCCGCGGTTTCAGACGCGTGCGGCTCCGTTTTGTTCTCTTAAAGCGGGAGATCCAATCGTCGCGGGAATCCAACTTTTACTCGCGCATATTCCGTATTTCTCGTCCCCTCAATTAACATCGAGTGTTGACCGTTCGTTTGTGTTCGTATATTGACTTTCATTACAATGTAATTTAACTACATGTGTCGACGTGTAACGCGACTGAATGCGTGTGCATTCGAGAAACGAACAGCCGCTGCTAGAATGAAAAAGAAAATCAATTCTGCTTGCACGATAAGAATCATTTTCACGAGAATTTCTCGCCTTTCATTAATGAAATTTTTTTTTCAATGAACATTTAGAATGTATGTATGTATGTATGTATGTATGTATGTGTGTACACGCGATATGGAAATTTAAACATTTATCGTTATCGCATTCTCGAGAAATTCCCCTCTCTTCATCCTTGAATCGGAAGTTTTATAAATAGACCAACGTATACAAATAACGATAGAGAAAGAAATGATAATGACGAAATGTTGTACAATGAAACGTCATGATATCTATAACACGAAAAGTCACTTGTATTTAAGAATTGTTGCCAGAGATTTCTATCTTAAACATTAATATGAAATGCCTGATAGACGACAATCTTTATAAGATCGCTATATGCACGAGTTACGAGATATTTTATACATATATGTACATTAGTGAATTCTCATTTGTGATACTGTACACGTTTTACTTTACTTTTAGGGAAGATAAAAATGCAATGTAAGATATCGCGTTTATTACTTCATTTTTATCGCGCGGTTGTATCGAATTGTTTATCGTAAGTTTATTTATTTTAAAAACATGTTATCGTATTACATGAACTGTGGGTATATAAAAGATTACCGTACGGTAAGAAATCAAAAGATACATTTAATTCTATTAATTTTTATTCATGAAAGTATAATGAAAATTCTCAAAGTATTAATATTTTTAATAGAAATAGAAAAAACTACAATTAAAAAGAAACAAAATTATGTTCTAAAAACTTTTTGTTTTAAATTATGAGTGATTGAAAATAGATTTGAATATAACAAATTCTCCTATTTATATTCTTAATGTAATCGCTGTGGAAAGCTATATTTCGAATTAATTAGCGAATTCGTGGATATATAAAGTTTATAATTTATTCATCCTGAATATCATCTTCTGCATATATATAGATCTATTACTTATTTGTATCCTAAGAGAAATTTGAGTAATTTGTAGTTTTCGATCGTCTCTCCAACTGTTTTTTTGACCCACATAAAGAACGTACATCTCATCTGCCCTAATATTAAATATTAGGAATAAGAATGATTTTAAAATAATAAAGTCGAAAAGAGTCTGATATAAAAATGCAAATTCGGTTATGAGGGACAAGTAAGGGCTAATGAACTAGTAAAAACACTTTTGTACCTGAATTTGTACTTGTATAATATATCAAAGTTCTTCGAATTTATTTTGAAATAATTTTTAAAATTGAATATCAATTCCTATATAATATTTGAGGGCCCAACTCGCGATTGTAGATGCGTTACGCATCGCGGGCGTCAGCTGCTCGCGCGCGTAGACGTCGCGAGCCACGTGGTCGTTTAAATACGCGCTAATGTACGCGCGCAGCGCGTAATAAACGAGCAGTCTCGGCTAAGCCTTGGCTTTTAACGCGCTTCTTAGTCACGCCGTGCCAGTTTTTCGCAGCCGTTCCCTCGGTACAGCGCTCGTTTCCGCTTTCGTTCGCGAAGTCGTACCGTTATCCGTAGGTTTGCGCACGTTTCTCGGCTCTAGTGTTTTCTTCCTTCTGCGAGGATAATTAAAACCCTGACGCAGGTACGTCGTTTCTACCTTCTTCCGTCATTATATCGTTAATATCGTATAATCAAGGCAATCTGTACTCTTTCATCGACGTTTGAAACGATTTGAACTTGACATCTTTCTACAAGTGTGCGGTATCTTCAAACAAAAAAAATGTCGTAAATTACTGTTTGAAATTGGCATCGGATATTATCTGCGACATAATGACAGTATTGTGTGTATATAATGCGTCATATAAATAGTAGCTTCGATATCGTAGACAAAAGTGCTTTCACGTGGTTTTTAGTAGGTATTTTTCCCTGCTTTTTTCCTCCACGTTTTAACTGAGCACACATAACGGAAACGAACATAGGCGAATCCTTGAGTATAGGACAATACCTAGTTGTTTTCCAATGGAGAAGAGCGTTTCCGTTGTTCTTTGTTTTCTTAGATTGCGTTCGTGTCTGTCTCTCGCATAGGGTTTATTATCGTCATCTCGTAGCTCAATACACACTTATGTATGTTTATGAAGGAATTTGTTTAAAAAGACATATTTTTGACACTGGAGAGAACTGGAATCCATGTGTACACACTATGATATACCTTCTTCGCTGCATCTGCGCGAACGCAAAAATAAATCCGTGCGAAAGTCGCTATCGAACACGAGAGACAGACACGCCCATGTGTATCGATAAACATAAATCTCCGCTTATCGGATCAATCTGGCAGGTGACCGTGCATCGCGCCATTTTTACGCCAAATTGCGACCAAGTCGCGTTTCGGATTCGCTTGCCCTTATAAACCAGATTCGTCGACGCGAAACGGGTTCGAGCTGAGGGGTATCCTCTCGCGGATCTCCGATGTATCTGTTACGGTGAAAGTTGCTCCCGCTCTCCTCTCGACGTGTAGCGTCTGCAATTTTTATCCGCGAAACGGATGATCTTATCCTCGGCGAAACCGTTGCAAATCAACGCGTGCAACTGCACATAAAAGTTGAACCAACTCGGATTTATCTGTCTTAAGCTTTCTCGCTCTTTATTAATAGTATCATAGTATGTTCTAGAAATCGTATTAGAGCTACCTATACAGAGAGAATTTATTCTTAGAATTTACCCTGAAAATCATGATCACGGGACAATAATTTATAATAAGAATTTTACAAGGGTTTCTCTGATTGAAATATTTACAAAATATTAATATGTTTTATTGTGGTAAATATTAAGCAGGGAAGAATTCTAAAATTGACGAAAATGATTTCAGGGTAAATTTTAAGGGAAAATTCTCTCCACGTAGGAGAGGAAATATTGTGGGCAAAATATTTTAATCTACTGTTCGCCTTTCTGATTGCAGGAGAGCATTTAGCTGGACACCACCTGGTACCCAGAAGGCAAGTGAGATAAAGACAGGTGGCACGAGAAGGTAAGAAGAAACCATGGGTGCGAGACAGAGCAAGAGGTCCGTGGACATAACGACGACGCCGAAGAAGGAGGGAATACCCGTTGAGGGAGGCGTCGTCGGAGATGCGGCCGCACCTGGCGATGGTAAGCTGGAAAGGATCGAGGAGGCTGACACGAAGCCCACCACCAACGGCATAGCACCGCACACGGACACTGCCGAGGACAAAGAGAAGGACAAAGACGAAGCTACCGAGAAGGACAAGGAACAAGTGAGTACTCTTTCATTTCTCGCATTTCGTTTTTTCAAGTTAAATCTCTTAAATCAAAATATTCATCTGCCAGAAATTCTACGATAATTTCTATTCATAGGCTATATTAATTTTAAATATAATTAATTTAAAATATATATAATTCCACGTGTACTTATTATATCATCTAAAGAGTAGAATAACGATTTTTATCGAGAGAGAAATATCTGAGAGATCGCGTATTTCCAATTAGCCACTTTTTTTTGGTTTAAGAGTTAATATTGATCAGAGTGAATAAAGTTTGTTTTGCTGACTTGAAAGTCGTGCCACCAATTCTTGTACATATCTTAAAATTATGTCGACCATATTAGGGTCAGTTGTTTGCACAAGTGATTATCTCGATTTCAGTCCGGGCGATATAATCATATTTGCGTTCAAAGTTCTGCTCGTGATGGTTTTCCATTACGAGGCGTATATTAAAGCCTTATTAGCACACGTTCTCATTATTAATGAGCAAGTTTGCTCGAGGAGACTATACAAGTTGACTCGAATTTCCGGCTTCGATGATTATATAGTATACCGAAGGCCAATCGTCCGATTGGCAACGAGATATACATACATATATATTTATTTCTCAATCGTCTCGATATACACGTAATGTAGCATTGTATATGCAATTATCTTTCCTGTTTTAACGTGTCCAACGATAACGATTCGTCGAATGACACTGTCACTCGTTCTCCGCGAATTGACATTTTCGAATCGCGTTTCGGTGAGTCATTCGCTCAATTGTCAATTGTTGATCAATCTTCAATGCTCTCGTCCGCTCAAATTACGCGAACGACAGACTACAGACGCGTGCTGAATCACTCGTCCCTCTTGTCTCATAGATACTCCGAAGTTTATCTCGCCGAGACAATTCATCCGACGTAGGCAGCGAATCATTAATCTTAATCGATTCGTCGAAAACGACGACGCATCGTTTTCTTCTCGCATTAGCAATACTTTTATAAGTCTTTTTATCAATCTTTCAATGGACCAAAAACATCATGTAGAATAATCAAGTTACACATCTGTGTGTAATTAATCATTTCAAATTATCATTTTAGAGACATTTTTTAATAATTTAAGATTTATACAAAAATATTGCTAATTCTTTAATTTCGTTCTTTGTCATAGTCGAAAGAGTGTCATATAAACGAGAATTAAGTCTCGTACGCGATAATGTATCAAATGACGCGATTTCCGGAGTTGACTATTCCGAGTATGACCTAGATGAGAAATGCTCTGCTTCGTTTGCTACCGAGAGCAAACTACCTTCGATAATGATCAATTTCCTGTTCGTACAAAGTTATGACTGATGAACGTAAAAATTAGCGCACTGGAACCCTCTTCGCATGATAATTACGCGATCGCGCTTCAATGATCGCTCAAGCATACGGTTGCTCGGTGGACGGTAATCATCATGATATTACATAAGATGTAATGCCGCGATATAAACGGAAAGCTGGTACGCGCTTATCGAGATTTATTGCACATCATGCGTCGACAGATTAGCGCTTAAAGTGCATTTTACATTGTAGAAACCAGATAAGTGACAGATAGTAATCTCTGTTGGTATATAGTAGTATATACATGTTTAAGTATATATGAATAATTTTTTCGACTCTATTCGATTTTATTGCGATTAGATAATGTGTATATACTTACACACATGCAATTGCAATGTGACATAATCAATTTGTCATTGTAAATAAATTTTTTACGTCTTGTACCTTGAAAAAGATTTTTGCAAGTTATTTAGAAAATTATATTTTGAAGAAATGATTGGTCTTTAGTGTGCAAAATTTACATTTTCCAACCTTCGAGTTCAATTTGAAAAAAATCGACGAATTTTGACAGCTCGTTTTTGTGACATATCAATTTTCTCGCGCCAACTTCTTTCGGGTCCTTTTCCTCGAGTCGAATCTCATAAGTGCAGGTTTATATCTCGAAATACTTTCTCGCTTAGATGAAACTGGATATTTCCCCGATTGAGCAAGCCCGGCGGCAGCTGTCACGCACCAGATACGACACACGCGAGCGAGAGCGCACCTTATCCACCCTTTCCGCTCCTTCCTTTTCATTTCCCTTCGACAAGTCATTCCTGTTCCTCTTTTGCTCCCTCGTCCTCTGCGGTTCACGACGCTTTAAGGCGTCATTTTCTTCGACAATCCGAGCGTACATTTCTCCCTCGTCATAAACGTTCCGAGTTCCGACTTGAAAGAAGAGCGTGGAATTTCAAAGTGGGTTCAAAGCGAAATATTTCATCCCGACATACACATCTTTCTAGTTTTTAAAAAATGATTATAATTTTCTAAATTTTAGATTTTTTAAATATTTAGGAAACATCAAAATATTAAAATTTAGGAAATTAAGCAGTTCAAATGTAGGAAATGATTAAGAAAATGTTCAATATTAAATTAAGGAAGAAAGATGGTCATTCCACAGTTCAATAGTCTAGTTTCTACTCTACTTTCTAAGTTGAGCGAATTTTCAAGCGGTCGTCTCTTGAGTATTAAAATCGTCTGGCGAAAATTGCACCACGACACAAGACCAAGAATGGGGTAGGTCGCGGTGTCCATCGACTTTTTCTTTTCTTTTCTTTTCTTTTTTTTTTTTTTGCAAATAACGAGAAGATACCGTTCGACTTTTTTCGTGGGTAAGTATACACTGTCGAGGTCGACTCATCCGTTCTCGCGACTAACTGTACGTGTCTCGTGTATTGGCTTCTTATGGGACATACCTAACTGTCCCAGACGAATAATTCTCTTTTATCTTCCTTCTCTTTTTCCTTTAGCAATACTATTTCACACGTACCTCGCATCGGATACGCGATCGATATCAAACGATCCTCGTCGTGTTACATCGGCTTCAATGCATGCGTCTAATCTTCTTACAAGTCTCCGTTAATGAAATATTTATACGTAATACCGTCTCGAGACACAATGCCGATAAAACCGATCCGTTATAAGTTAAATACTGTTGCGCGACTTCGACAAGTTTCACCTTTCTGTCTCGGCGCTCCTTCTTTGCCATTCTTCGCTTAACCCACATTTAGATTCCGATATGTCAGTTCTGTATTAGCGTTACGTTTACCTCGATTCATCGGTAACTCGCTGACACTCGTCGTTTCCCATCGATCGCGCTAAAAAGGACGCTCTTAGTGCATGCACTACGACGATTCTTGCGGTTCACGCGAGTTTGTCGAGTGGCGCGTTTGTTTGACATCCGAGATTATACTCGAGTTTCTCATGAATATTCATCAGCTACTCCCTGGTGTCTGTGTCGTCTGGCGTCGCCTCTATCCGCGAATCTTACAAAATCTCCAAGGCAGGTGCACGTGCGATCTAAATACTTGAGAGTTAACTCGCCCGTCTCGTCGAACACCTGTCTTTAATATATTGCGTTGGTAACGATGGCTCGAGCACAATTGCTGCTGTATTTTTTTTTTTAATGGAAATTTGCGATACGATCGTGTAAGCACGTATTCTCACCGTATATAAAGAGTATATCGTGTAGCAGGACACGCTTTGGAACCATGAGAGACCGTAACAAGCAAGAATCATGTGAAACGCGACCTTGGCCGTGATATACTTAATGTAGATGGAACACTTAAAAGCGCGATAAAAGAAGAAAGAAAGAAGATTCATTTATTTTTTTTTAATATTTTATAATTTTCCACTTAAAGATATTATTTATAAAAAACAAGGGGGTAATAATTTTTGATTTAATTTGTCGTATTACAAGGTATTTAATAGATTGAAATTTTATTAGTAAATGATAAATTATTTAAAAATGCACAAATTAAATTATAGGTTGTTTGAAACTCTGCGAGTTTGCAAGTTCTTCCTCCGATTTCCATATAATTGAGATCGTAATATATCGAGGTATTAAACATATACGATTATCGTGGATCACAATAAGATGTTGATCCAGCTTATGGGGTCCCTCCCCGAACGATGAATCAACCGAACGACATCGTATGGAAATGAAGCCAAGTATTTCATTAAGTGTATAATTAATACACACACGGTATCTCTCGGTACCGCGCGTTTCGTCGATGAATCATCGCGTATAACTCGCATAGCTCGAAGACGCGAGAACGTGCTTTATTAATTAACGCGACTCGTCTGTTTCACTGCCATTTAATTGCTGCCTGTTACCCGTCTGAATTCCTACGAATTTCCTTCGTCTTGGCATCGTCACGGACAAAATCGCTATCAGTTCTCGCGGACTTGACAAACGCGATTGAAATTTTAAGTATCGTCTTCTTTGTGCAACGAATCAGCCTAATTGAAATTAGATGCAAATTTCGCAGAGCGTCGATCGATTACTCAACTACCTCGGGAATTTGTTGTGGAAACTGCATAAGAGGCGCAAAAAAGGCGCGTGCATATGCAGATGCATGCGTTTGTACGCGACGCGGAGGAATTTATTGCGAAAATGTCGCAGGAGAGTACGCGGTCGACCTTTGTTTAAAAATCTACTGCGTTTTTCCGCGAATTCTTTCGTATTCCAATATTGTGCGAGAGCTTGCATCGAGCGTCATTTATCCGTCTCGCAAGGTTGCTGCCTTCCTCTTCGTTCATACCTTCGCGTATCTTTGAATATTAATTAATGGTAAACTCGCATGGCCTCTGAATTCCGATATATCGGCCTCTCCCGACGAGGCTTCCATTATTTGCTCGCGGTAATCGCGTGCGGAATCTTAACTCATTACTTGATTTCGCACCGAAATGTGTGATATTCATACCTCGAAGAGTACAGTTGAAAAACCGCTTGCGCTTTTTCGTCACCGGCATTATACATTTTATATATTTTGACTCTGTTTGTTTACGTGGAGATTTATCGCGTCGAAAATAATGTTTATTATTCAACCTTGTAGTCAAAAATCTGGCAATATTTTTACGTTTACAAAAACTACCTGTATATTCTCACTCTTTATTTTCGACGATGGCTCGACTGGTTTTTGTAGCTCACGTCGACGTAAACCTTCGCGCTCGCGCGATGCCATCGTACTTGTGCGGAAGCATTTACGACGAAGAGTGTTGCTCCGTTTGCACGTTATATGCACGTCTCTTTCTCTCTTTTCTTCTCGCATCGATCCTTTTTCTCTCTTTTCCACCCGTATATCTCGCACGCTAGATATTGCGGGGCTCTTCGCTGTTGCGCGTCTCGCGAATGCTAAAATAAGCCGATATTTACATAATATAATGCGTGCAACGTCTGTGCCGAGGATTCGCCTCGTTTTATCGGCATTGAGGGAGAAACGAGATGAGAAAGAGGGTTCGAGAAAATGACGTTTGTGAAGAGATGCTGCGACATTACTTGTATAATCGAATGCGACGACGCGTCGCGCCTCGTTTTGGTCCATTGTGTAAATCAGGAAATTCGCCAACTGACGCCCACGTTGGATTCATATCGCTCTTAAACGTTGGACGTGTCCCTCTCGATCGGTTGTGCTTTATCGCACTGCAATGTGTTGTTTGTGTGAGTGCGTGTCACGTCGGGTAAACATGTGGAATTGTTCTCGCGTATTTGCATCGATAATAAAGTAGCTCTTGGATTGCTTTGTGCAATCGCGACCGATCACCTGTTCCGGATTGGCGAAACACGCCGTTTCAGCTTTTATCGATCAGAGTTGAAAATGAGAGACGTACAGTGATATGTAAAATGCTAAAAATAACAAAATTTTGCAATGAAGTCTTCAGAATTTCAAGAAAGATTTCATTCTTACGCAAGATATGATGAAACTCGAGAAAATCATTTTGCGTTATGAAATAACTTTAATTTGTTAAAAGCAGAGATAACAGATGATATTCAGATGGACAATGCCTAGAGGGATTTAGTTTTCAACTAATTTTCGAGAAGCTTTCTTAACGAAGTATTTTGTCCATCTCTTTAGATTATAAAATTACAAACGGACTGTAATTACATATGTCAAGTTAGCGAACGAGTCTGTCAGTGTTCTCTGATTAACAATCGTCTTTCTCGTTGGAATTTTTCTCACTGATTTGCGCGGGAATTCTTGTATGTCATTTTTTCATTAACATAGTAGGTATAAAAAATCTTTACGTAGCGCCAACAACTCGTAAAGTTTTTATGACAATAAATCATTCGCAAATTTGCGTTTTTTATTTTATTCTTTGTAATGATTTATTCGACCTATCGTAATAGAGTCTCAAGCGATATATAATTATCACTAATATGTCGGGTAAAGGGGAGCCGACGAAGTGTTTCTCGTCAATCCACTTTTTTTAACAAATTTGATAAATGTCTGTAGTTTTTTGGCCGGTATAGACGAGAGAGAGCTTGTCAAGGGGTTTTCAGAGGACTCCGAAACAAAGAGGACTTCTTGCCGTTGTATCATGCACTTTCCGGGAAAACTAACGCGCGTTTCACAGAAGTTTAATATTATTTATAAGTGGTGAGCCGCGGGGTATGATGGGAAAGAGTTAAACGACTTCATTCCGGAGTGGCTGCGACACTTTCGGACGCGAGAGAAACTTTCAAGAAGTGTATAAGTATCATTACGGAAACGTATACGCTCCCGGGCATTAAAGCCTGTTCTTGTAATCGGTTTTGTTTAACTATAGTTTGCTGAAAATGGAAGAAAATGAGACTTTTCGATATTGTGTAGCTTCTAAATTTAGATATAAACGAATAACGTTTAAGTTTTAAAGCAAATTTACGAAGAATTGAAATTAAATTAGTTTTTCATTAAATATTATTTTTTTCTAGTTACGAAATATTATCATTTAATCAACTTTCTGATGATTAAGCATACTTCTTTTTCATTAAAACCGCTGTTAATGTAATTTATATTTAAGGTTTTATTAATGATGATAATCAAGCGAACACGCTTTTATGACAATATAGAAAATATTTCGATCTTGCACGAATGACTTTAAATATATGTTGTATAAGAGATTGAAGAGATGAAAGTAAGCTATCAACCTAGTCATGATACTTGAGCGCTATCGTTTCGCATAAAACGGTAGAAGTCACAAGTATTACTCTCGCAAGAAGTACCTCGTGGCGTTACACGATTTACGATATAAAATATATTTTGTAAGCGGTATTGTGTATTTTCTCTCTCATCTTCGTCCATGTTCTTTTTCATGTAAGAGAAAAAAATTTCTGATGATTCATACCATTTCGAATGGTCTGATGCTTCTGATAATTCTGAATCATACTCGTTGCGATTACGAAACACAGTCATGCATCATTATTTCTCCATATCTCGTTAAGTGTTTAAAGTTTATTGCTCGTTAGTTATTCGTGTAATATCGACGTTTGTATATTTTTTGGGAAACAAAATTTAAAGGTGGGTTTTTTATCTCTCGTTTCAGCAGCCGCAGCAGGAAGAAGTAAAAGCCGAGGAGACGAAGCAAGAGTCGTCTGGAGAATCTCCTGCGGAGGTTGCGGAGGTTACGACGCCCACAGAGGCCACCCCTGCCAGTCCGAACACTGCCACTTCTCCAGACAATAAGGAAACCAAAAAGAAGGATAAGGTAAGGCGGGCGATCCGCCTCATAATCCGTATATCGTGTTCATTTATCGGAATTTCATTATTTATATTTTAATGAATCTCGACTCGCGTCGTGTCTTGGAACGTATTAATGCATTTATGTTGAATCCACAAATTTTTCTCCCGTTAAATAAAGACGCGTAATTACGTGCCGGTGAGTCTGTCGATCATCATTGATCCGTTCATTCATCGGAATTTCATTATTTATATATTTTTTTATTTAATGAATCTCGACGCGTCGTGTCTTGGAACGCATTAGTGTATTTATGTTGAATCCACAAATTTTTCTCCCGTTAAATAAAGACGCGTAATTACGTGCCGGTGAGTCTGTCGATCATCATTGATCTGTTCATTCATCGGAATTTCATTATTTATATATTTTTTTATTTAATGAATCTCGACGCGTCGTGTCTTGGAACGCCATTAGTGTATTTATGTTGAATCTATACATTTTTCTCCCGTTAAATAAAGATGCGTAATTACGTGCCGATGAGTTTGTCTATTACTAACATTCCCGTTTCCTTTTAATTTCTGTTTAGAAGAAAAAGTGGTCCTTCAGGTCGATCAGCTTTAGCAAGAAGGATAAGACTAAGCCGAGTCGCGAGGAGGCGCCCAAGAATGGAGACGTCACCAAGGAGGAGCCGCTTGCAGAGGTAAGTCGAGAATTATGCATTTGCTTGCTTAATATTAGCGACTAAGACGTATTTGCAAAAATACGGAAGGCCTCGTTAAAAAGAAATAAAGCAAGGATACTCTTTTTAATGTCATTACTTTACTGCTGCGAAGTATTACCGAGAGAGATATATATTTATTATATTTTTTTAATTGACCATTCATATTGGAGAACGTCTCCTTTGAATATTCGGAACTGAAACATTATTTGGACCATTCGTAATTATTTAGCTCTCAATAACACATAATTGGATAATTCCTCGTAAATTTCGCAATATCCGTACGCTCGTGTGTTTTCGTGCTAAATAATTATCGTATCGCGCGAGTACAATTTTGTTGGAGCTAATTACGCCTCTTTTTATCGTCTCATGACGCGTCGCGCTTAATTCTCCGAAAACAAACTCGTTTTCAATTTCGATCAGGGTACACATTATTGTCGCTCTTTGTTATCGATGCGACGACGAATCAATCCCCGTGAAACACGTTACGTAACACATTTCGCGTTACGGCTCGTTGCTTCTCCCCTAAGGGGAGGGATAAAACGATTTGCTTCGATTGATCCTCGTGAAACAGATATCGCACGTATGCTGAAACAAGTTCCAGGACAAGGTAGCAAAGTAAGCGTGTGTAAGACGCGAGAAAAACGACTTTATATACCAGCGGCAATGAATCTCCTCGCCGTGACCCCGTTTCCGCCTCGACTTCCTCGATCGTTTTCCCGACGATCGATCGATCGAATAATCGATCCCAGCCGGTCGTCTCGAAAAAGTCTGGACCCAATAACGGCCCGTGTTTGGTCAAGCGTCAATGCTCCGTGTTTTCCCTCGGAGGTTCGTGCTCCGGGAGATAATCGCGCAAACGACCACGCGATAGTCGTCACGGATCGAGGCTCTCGAAGTCGGTGCTTAATTGGCGTCCAAGACGTACGATAAATCTCGAATGTGCTCGCGATTATCCGGCGAGAACAGTTGAAAAATTTCTGTTAAATTTAACGGATATCACATGTTCTGAACACGTCCGCAGAAATTTTTGTGTTAATTTAACGTAATATATTAAATAGGGGTACAAAATACCTGGGTTAATATTTTAACACAAAATAAATTGTAAAACTTTAACATGGGTTTAATGTAAAAATTAACCAAAAAGATGGTAATTTTAGATTCATCCTCACTTATATTAAGAAATAAAAAATCAATATTTTTTTCTTCTAAATTTTAACAATGTCGCTAATAAAATGGAGCATATTTATTGTGTAAAATTAAAAATAAAATCTTTTTTCAATTGTTTTAATAATTTAACACTTAAGTTCAATTATAACGCAATATGTTAAATTAACACATGGATGTGTCAAATATTTAACACAAAAATTTGAACGGGGATCGTTTTTAACACAAACTTTCCTTCTGTGAACGAGATGGGAACTGCGAGAGAAAGACAAGGGTGCAAGTTAACAAAGCTATTTATTAGCATCAGATCTTCGCTCCGGGTGTTTCTGTCACCGGACAGGGAGGATAACTCCTAGATATCCTAGATATCGCGTCATTGTCGCGCGCGGAAATGATAAAGTATTATGCACTGCACGTTATACTGTGTGCTCCGTGATGCTGCGAGGAGGGAGAAGGAAACCATTCCAGCGACGGGTCTTTCACGAGCTCCGTGAATGATGGAGCTCACTTTGTAGACGTTATTATTAATCTTCGTCGAGCGCGCCGGCTTAACAAGCTCTTCCACGTTACATGCGCTTTATACCTCGATCGGGATGATTATATCGGCTATATAGATTGGCGATGATCGCGCAGAGGAATACATCAAGACTTTATCGGGAGCTTAATTGGACTGCGATCGTTTCACCAGTAGAAATTAGGAGTATAACGAGTATATTATACACAATACGATAGATGCGAGAGAGAGCGTAGCTATATAGAGATCTTATCTTTGATTCAATTTACACCAAGTATTTTTATTTTTTCACAAAAAATTAGACAAAAATCGCGTGTATCGAAAGATCAATTTACACCAAGTATTTTTTTTTCACACAAAAATTAGAACAAAAATCGTGCTTTGCAGCATCAGCTGCTGGATCTGCATCGAAAGCTCACCGGGCGCTTAATTATCCCGAGACCGCAATGAATCTCATTGTCTTTCCGGCCAGGGGGAGGGACTGGTCGTTGCAGTCGCAATAAATTCACTTGGCGGCGGATGTATAATAAGTAGCGACGTTAAGCTTTCTTGCCTTTCTCTCCGTTTCTTTCGCGAATCTCTTCCTCTTGTTTCCTCTACGTATCGCGCAGCCTCCTCGTCTTATCTCACTTCTCAAGAGCGCAGCCGCGCGTAGGCGAAATCTCGCGACTAGGCTGGATCCTCTCGTTTCCTTCACCGCCACCGCATCCGTTTTCCTCGTTTCGTCTGCCTTGTCTGCCTGCGCCTGCAGTTCAGCTGCACTCGCGTGCACTGTCGTGGGCTCCTTTCCCTTCTTCGTCGTCGCGACCTCGGCGCGACAGAAAGAGGGTGAGCGGGGAAAGAGAAGAGAACAGCTGCGTGACTCATCTTCTCTCCGGTTCGTCGTACCTCCGCGAGTTTTGTGATAGGCTGCCGCGGAAAACCGGCTCTCGTCGCAGCCTCGCGATACCGCTCGATCGTTCATCGCTAAATCATTGATAGTGACCACTCGATATCGCGCGAATTTAGCCGAATTTTTGTCACAGGGTGTCTAGCTGTTCTTGAAATCCTGAATTTTTTCGTAGATCTTGGATTTTGCTTCGAAACATTCAACTAAAAGAGCAGAGACTATTCGAGTGACAAATATTTTATCTTACTTTGTAAATAATACAATATATTTTTACTTGGGAGTCCAAAAAATATGTGTCACGCATAAGTTATTTATAGATAATAAATGGAAATGTTCTTAAATTTCATATTCAAATTTTACTAGACACCCTTGCATTAAATACCGACTCTAATCGATAAAACAATTTTGTGGCGTCGTCATAAAAAATCAGAGTCATATATAGAATCGTCACGTTATCAATCGGTTTGATGAAAGGGATTCCTAATCGTTCTAGAGGTCCCCCAGATCATGCCAGTAATAATAACGATGGGACTTCATTAGCGTTGTTGCGTGCGCGTTATTTATAGACCTCTATCTCGCGGTACTTTTCGTTTTATCGACGGGCTATCGGCGTATCATTTTTACGTCCGTTCTCGCGGTCATTTATCACAGGCGAATGATGGACGCAGTCCGTATCACTCGGACAGTCGAAAACACGCATTCTCCATAAGAGAATGCGAGAGATTGGGGACCGGCAGACGGTGTTCCGTGTCATCATCATCTTAAACAGAAGAATTCCAGATAATTATAACCAAGTGTATACAGGGTGTCCGGTAACTAACGGACCAATGATTAAGGCCAATTTGGAGACGATTTTTCCTTAGCAAAAATGTTGAGAAGTCAATAATTTTCGAGTTATAAGCGATTGAAAAAAAATGGGTTTTTTTGAAAACTAAACGTTCTGGAGTTAAAAGTCTAACGTAATTACATTCTTCAGTTAATTTCAGGTAGAGTTTACTATAATAAAATTTTAATTTGAGGCATAGTTATAAAGATACATAATGAGAAATATTGGAAAGTTGTAAAAAATGATGACCCTTTTCGACATTTTTGCTGAGGAAAAATCGTTCCCAAATTGACCAAAGAATCCACTTGTAATCGTTGGTTCGTTAGTTACCGGACACCCTGTATATATATATCTCTCGTTTTCTCGCTCACGTTGCTAATGTAACCTTGATGAACCGAGCGCTGCCTCTATTCCTTATATTGTATACCTTATATCGTCTTGGGCTTTAAGCGAGTTCAGCGACCATTTAATAACTGACCGAAACAATTACTCGGGATGAATTTATTCGGGGTGATAATTTTGGATATACCTCGGGGACGGTAACTATTGCGCGACACGCGAGTAGAGGACGACAACGTCTTGTTATTATCGTGTAATACAACCTTCGAGTCGGAGCTCGCGTTCAGCCGCGACTTTCACTCCCTTCGAACGGCCCGGCATTCCGGAGTCATTAAGGAATTACGAGTGGTAGAGGTTTGTAGCCTGGCGCGAGTGCTATGCGTAATAGCGAGATGTCATTGTCGAGTCCGTGTTATGACACGGACGATGATGCGGAGTCTTATTGCTCTTCTCATTTATCCGTCGCACGTTCAAGGAGCGCGTGGATTTTCTCTCCGAGTAATTAACGGAGAAGAAATTTCACAATCTTCCTGGAAAGATGTCTTTTCGAGACGTCACTGACATTTATAACTGCCGTTTACCATTTTTACGACGAATAACGTAAAACGCTGCTTGATAATATCCGATGAGATTTTTTTTAAATCCCCTCTCGCGAGATTATTCCGGAGATGTTCGTGATTGGATTTGTTCCGTTGGGTAGTTTCAACTGTAAGTATAATATGTTTTTCTATCTCTTTATACTATGTTTGTTTCGTCTCAATTGTGGCGGCGAAATTTTCAATTCAAGGCAATTAACTCTTAATTCCCCTAAATTGTCTCCTCACGCATTCTTATGTCGGCGAGGCGTCTAAACCTTCTCTGGTATTTGCCACATCTTCATCGCCATCATCGTAGAGGTTCGCGGTGAAAAAAGAAGTCGAGGGTCGAGGCAAAATGTAATCGTATTACTTGACGTTCCACAAAAATTAATTTAAAGCGAAATACATCTGTCACGAGCGGAATGTCGAGATAAAAAAATAATGAAATTAAAGATTATACCGAGTTAAATAGTGAGTTGATCGAGAGAGAGAGAGAAAAAAACATTCCCTACCTCTTTATTTAACGAGAGACTAACTTGATCATTTAGTCGATCGATTTATTGTCAAGTACTACTTATAATAGTTCATTGACATCTTCGATCGGAGAAAACAATTTTGTCTCTGCGCACATGTCTAGTCCACTTTTAGCAAAAAGATTTTTAATTAAAT